TACTTGGAGATGGCTAGGATTGAACCTGGCATCTCCTGTGTACAACTGGAAAATGTATGCCTTGCCACCGAGTGATAACTATCATTATAGAAGCCACTGGCAATGGTGCGGCTAAAAAATATTGTAAATATTGTAAATAAATAAATTATTATCGTTATGCGCCATCAATACACCTCTCTGACTCACGGCGACCCTACCTACGAATGAGCAATCTCCAAAGGGATCTCCTGGCCTCAACAGCCCTGCTCGGCTCTTACAAACTCAGCCCAAGGACTCCAAAAGAAGCCGAACGGACCACAACCTTTCTTACCACTTATCACTACTTGCGCGGCCCCCATAACCTTCGCGATGAGCAAGGTCACGAGCCCAATGGGTCCTAAAAGAAAAGGAGCAAAGGGATAGAATAAGAAACATGATGTTGTTAATTGTATAATAGATTCTGAAACAGTTCCCTTCAACAACTGTTTTCAAGGAAAACCATACAGTCGCAGAAATACATGCACGCACAAGGTATAATCGAGGCGGAGCAGCCACCTCTCCCCAACTCCACCCGAACCCTCCTGGGCCTATGCAAGTCACGCCTGCTGATCCCTCTTTTTTTCTTTCAAAGGCTATTCCAGATTTAAATGAGATGCTAAGAAGAAATGGGTGCCCTTCAATTTTGTGCAGACCCAGTTGGTCAATGTTGGAGTGATATCTGGGCTAAGGCTTTTTCATAACCTTGCCCCACATTAAGTAATTTTTAATTAATTCTGATTTTTGTTATATGAACTAGGTGGCCAGCAGGCAGACAGACAGACAGACAGACAGACAGACAGATGATGGACGGACGGAGTTGGAGTGATATCTGGGCTAAGGCTTTTTCATAACCTTGCCCCACATTAAGTAATTTTTAATTAATTCTGATTTTTGTTATATGAACTTGGTGGCCAGCAGACAGACGGACGGACGGACGGACGGACGGACGGACGGACTGATAATGGTAATCTTACTGTGCTTAATGCTATTGTACTTTCAATAGCATTAAACACAGATCATGTACACATGATCCCTTCTCAGATTTTTTTCTGAATTTTCTGAACTTTTTTGTTGCTTTTATTCTTACTGTTATGCTATTTTGATGCTGCTTGTTTAGCCGCCCAGAGGAGTGGCTCTGCTACTAGATGGGTGAGATAGAAATGGAACAAATGAACAAACTCACAACGAATGAACTAAACAAATAAGTATGCCCCACACACACCCCAGCCAAAGAAGGGGAGTGGGTGGTCCCAAAGCCACCATGCCACTCCGACCCCAGTGTAACATAGTCAGAGGAAACAGTGACATTCAGGCAGCACCCTTTAACCAGTGAAAGCCTGGCCACTGAAGCTCTTGAAACAGCTGAAAGAGCCTGGGGAATAAACGGCCTTTGCTTCATGACGAATATCTGCTGATTCGTCTGGAGGGCATGGCTTCCCAAGGTGGGGGTGCCACAGCCGCCTCTCCACCAGCCCTCGGCCTGGTCTATGGAGGAAGGCAGCGCGGGGAATAAAAACTGGCATCTACCCACCAGCATGCTCAAGGGTGAATGTCATACCCTGGAAAGGCCTCCTAAAATAGCTCATAGGAAGGAACGCATGCTGTTTCAACCCTATAGCCAGAAGCCAAATCCCAAGCGGGGTAAGGTCACATCATGTGCCTCTGTCTATTTTTCACCTCATCCTACAGCAGTTACTAGGACTGTAGAGGGGAGAGGTGGAGACCCACTGTTCTCTCCAGGCAGAAGATATTTTGCTGCCTGAGGCAAAGGCGTGGGGCCCTGTCCTCTGCTGCACCTGGAGGCCACAGGTGAGTTTTGGAGACACACAGGACCGCCCCACTTAGGAGATCTGGGGAAGGATGGAGGCTATCGACACCAGCCCCCTGAGCGACTGCCAATGACAGCGTCGCTCGTTGTGAGGAAAGGCGAACCTGGAAAAGCAAACAAAAGTAGAAGAGGACTCTTCCATACCAGCCCCGCATATAAAGACTTTGCTCCCCAGAGTCACTCCAGCCCTTCTGCAGGCATGGATCCCCACAGAAAGGGGTTCGATCAGGGCCCCTTCCTCAAACGTGACATTATCTGGAAGCCTGCAACAACAAAAAGAGAGACAGAGAAATCTTTCACAAAAAAGACCTCGGAGTGAAAAAATGAGCACCAATCTTCCAGTCCTCCAAGCAAATGTTCTAATAGCTTAAATAACTACGCTCACCTGATGCAGAACATCAAGTACAGATGCCCCCCCCCAAGAAGCTGGGTCACTAATGCTGTGTATTATATGCAAAATAATTGTGTGCCATCAAGTTGGTTTTTACTTATGGTGGCCCCTTCCAAGGTTTCCTTGGTAGATGGTACTCCGTTTTCCCACTCCTTTCTTCTTGAACCACTTTAGAACTGTACAGCTTGCCCAAGGCTACACAGGCTGGCTCTTCTCCCCGGAAGCACAATGGAGAATCAGACGACCTCCCTCCGGCTCCGTGCCCACATCTCTCCGAGGGGTCAGCATAAAACTGTTCTCAGCAGATCTCCTTAAATTATTACTACAGCAAATTTGACTTTCACTAATATTTTTATAGTAAAATTAAGAGAAAGAAAATACGTAACTCCAGCGACTGTTATTTAGTCATTCATTGTGCTTTTTTTTGGAAAGAGAATCAGACGCCCTCCCTCCGGCTCCGTGCCCACATCTCTCCGAGGGGTCAACATAAAACTGTTTTCAGCAGATCTCCTTAAATTATTACTACAGCAAATTTGACTTTCACTAATATTTTTATAGTAAAATTAAGAGAAAGAAAATACGTAACTCCAGCGACTGTTATTTAGTCATTCATTGTGCTTTTTTTTGGAAAGAGGGTTAAAACGTCCACGTTGCTAAGTTAGAAACAGCATTTGTGAGGCAAATTCTTAAATAAAAAATATATTTCCCCTTTTAAAATAAGCTGCAAAGTCCCAAGATGCCCCCCCTCCAAGGAAGGAAACGGCAAAAATATTTCTGAACACACACTCTCTCTCTCTACTTATCACCACAAGTCAGAATTGACTTGACAGAATGCAATTAGGATTCTTTTGTCACAACTTCCTGAAAAATCATATTAGGATTTATTTTCAGGTTAGGTCTTATTTTCGAGAAAACAGGGTATGTAGTTAAGCAAAAACCCTTGACATTCCCCAGACAGTCTAATTATTTATTTTTCTTTTGGGGCCCTTTCAACCTTAGTTAATACTCGGCTTTCATAAGCAAGACACCTAGAAAGCTTCTGGGCAAAAGTCCATAATCCTGTTATTCATTACCAGTTATTAACGATTTAGTGAGACTCAGGGGCTGAAGATGAACTGCTCGCCAGTTGTCTAATCCTTTTTTGAACATCTGCATCCAATTACTTCTCAAAACTTTAGGCCAAAATAAATCCCTCCAGTCTACTGTGTGCAGTGACAAAATGACACCCCTTTGTTTCCAACTGGCCGTTAATCTCATTTATGGTCTCTGTCATTGCAACACATTGCCTCAACTGCCCTCCAGCCTATTTGATGCAGAAAAATGCTTGCAATTTTAAGAACCACCCTAATCCCCAGTATCCTGCAAATCATTCTTGTAACAAGTTTTAAGAAACACTCAGAGAAACTTTTTTGGCATAATCTTTTGGGGAACAGAAACAAGCTGGATAGTTCTTCGGTTTGTGTATCCGGCTGTAGAGCCGGAGGCTGGAAGTTCGATTCCCCGCTTGTTCCTCCAGGGAGAAGAGCCAGTCTATGTAGCCCTGGGCAAGCTGCACAGTCCCAGGACAGCCCCAGAAGAAGGGAGTGGGAAACCACTTCCAAGTACAGTGGTGCCTCGCTTAACGGCGATAATCCGTTCCAGGAAAATCGCCGTTAAGCAAAAACATCGTAAAGCGAAAATAAAAAGCCCATTGAAATGCACCGAAAACGTTTCAATGCATTCCAATGGGCTTAAAACTCACAATCCAGCGAAGAACCTCCATACGGCGGCCATTTTCACTGCCTGTATAGTGAGGAATCCGTCCCTAAACACAGCGGGGAGCCATTTTATTTACCCAGTGGCCATATTGAAACCGCCGATCAGCTGTTGGAAAATCGTCGTTTTGCAAAGAATCAGTTCCCAAAGCAGGGAACCGATCATCGCAAAGCGAAACTCCCCCATTTAGACCATCGTTTTGCTATCACAATTGCGATCGCAAAAAGATTGTCATAAAGCGGATTCATCGTAATGCGGGGCAATCATAAAGCAAGGCATCACTATATTCTTTACCTTGAAAACCCTGTAAAGAATCAACATAGGTCAGAATCAACTTAATGGCACATGGTTATTATTTATTATATTTTTGAATGTTTCTGCCCACAATGGTATGACATATGGCTACCAGGAAAAAAACATAGCGCTCTGGCCCAGTCTGTATGATGCCTTCCCTATTTATTATATTTCTGAATGTTTCTGCTCACACTGGTATGTCATATGGCTACCAGGAAAAAAACATAGTGCTCTGGCCCAGTCTGTATGATGCCTTCCCAAGAAAGAGCTGTGTTAGATCCTTATTGGGAGCATTTCGACAACAGGCTGGCTTTTATTTTTATTCTACTGGCTTTACTGTTTCAGTTTTATTGCTCGCTCTTAACACTTATTTCTGAATGTTTCTGCTCACACTGGTATGTCATATGGCTACCAGGAAAAAAACATAGTGCTCTGGCCCAGTCTGTATGATGCCTTCCCAAGAAAGAGCTGTGTTAGATCCTTATTGGGAGCATTTCGACAACAGGCTGGCTTTTATTTTTATTCTACTGGCTTTACTGTTTCAGTTTTATTGCTCGCTCTTAACACTGTAATATTTTAACGTTCAAATATTTTAACCTCTTGATTCAGTTCTGGATGATTCACTGTTTTTTATTGTAAAATTTAGTTTTATGGACAGTTTTCATTTTTACGACCGTCAACCACTAAAGGGCACAGCCAGGCAGATGGTATATGAACATTTCAAATAAATAGAGTCAATGATATTTTGGCCTCTTAACCAATGATTGGGAAACGGGTTTCCACCAGACCCTTGAGATGAGGCAAACAGGACGAGGGGAAGCATTAACAAGACAAGAAAGAATTACATGTCCTATTTATGTATGTGGTTGATTTATATCCCACTTTTCCACTCAAACCGGGACACAAAGCAGCTTACAAGTATAAAAGGGTACAGAATAAAAAAACCACAATTATTAAAACATAATTAAGCAAATTGTAACATTAACATACCACAGAATTAAAAGCTATTCAAAGGCACAATGATAAAAAAAGTAAACCATTCTACCACTTTAAAGTCCTTTACTCAGCAATCAACTTGCACAAGCCTGCTTGATTTTTTTTATGCGTGCCTTTTTTAGTTGCTGCTGGAAGGACAACAGGTGGGGAGGTGGTTTGTATAAGAGAAATGTGACATCTTCCCTTGAGTTGCCCCCTATTAATGACTGAAATTCTGTTGCTTTGTTTAAAGCACCACGTTGCAACGAGAGGACACGCAGTGAATCCACAGGGATCGGGCGCATTCCTCCTTCATCGGCTTCACTGATCCAATGGGCCAACTTTAGTTGAGTCTTAGGCTGCAGATCCAACGGTTCGTACCTCTGTTGTTTCCAGAAATGGCCAGAAAAAAAGCGGGGGAGAGGTGGAATGCAAAATGAACACTCAAGTGCCCAGACTAGACACTTCTGGGTTTTATTTGAAGAGTTTGGCCACGTCTGAGGGTCCCTCCCAACTTTCCCAAAGCAAAAGCCCCCACCATCCCCGGAGGCCCCCCTCCTCCAAAACCCGCTTCGCCCTGGGATCCACAAATATGTGCAACTCACTTGTAACAAAAGCTGGCATCGTGCTTGTAATAGCGACACAGGTTGCCATCATCCGGAGGAGTCGCGCAGAAGAAGATGGTCGGAGACAGGTTGTAACGCCCATTTTTGCAGAACTCATCTATTTCTCGGGGGACCCCGGGCTCAATGGCCACTCTGTCACCTGCAAGGGGTTGGGGGAGAATGATAAAACATCGCAGAGGACTAGAAGGGCAGGGAAACTCTTGCAAAGGCATTGCACGGTGTTGAAAGGGCCTTACGGTAATCTGCAGCTCATGGAGCACATGGGGGTCCCAATGGCTGAACTGCCATCAGCCAGATGGCAGAGAAAAGTCTTGCTTTTCCAGACCTGCTAGGGGATATCGAATGGATGCTTCCATCAGTCTCGTGACCCTAGTCCACAATCTTGGGACCTGCAGCCCAAGAACCTCTGGAAAGCTCCAATTTGCCGACGACAGGGCCGCTAGCATCACTGGGACAGCAAACTTGTTGGGATTATGGAGGAAGGCTTCAATGTCACCTCTCAGGAACACTCACAAAACAACTAAAACCACTCTTTTGCAGAACCGTAGAACTGTACGGTTAGGAGGGACGCTGAGGTCACAGAATCCAACTCCCTGCTAAGCTAGAAAATCCACAGTTGCAGGATCTATGACAGATGACCCTCCAACCTGTTTAGAAACGTTCAGTGTTCATGACCTTCCATTCCTTGTTGCACTGGCAGGAAGCTCTTCCCTCTAGCCCACCTAAAATCTCCCTTTCCTAACATTTTGCATCACTTTGTGTCCTACACTCTGGAGCTGCAGATGTTCCTTCAGCGTGGCACCTTTCAAACGTCGGAAGACCCCTGTCCTCTCCAATTCCCTCTTGGTCTTCTTTTCTCCCAACTAAGCAGACAAATGCCCTCCTTCATTCTACGGAGGGCTTGGGGTCCTGGCTGTTATCCCATCTTGCTTGCCCTCCTCTGGGCACATTCACTATCCTTTTTAATGATGATGCCCAGAACCGGATTCCACGTTTACATCTTCATGGATGCAAAGATGGGGGGGAACAAATATATATGTGTTTCTGTGTATGCATATGACACTGCCTACTTTTTCTCCCAAGAGCTCATGGTAACATAGATTGTCTTCCTTCCACAACGACCCTGCAAAGCTAAATTAGACTCAAGAAAGGGCAGTGCAAGTGAGTTTCATAGTCAAGAGGACTTAATCTGAAACCGGTACTTCTGGAGGAAACGCTGGAGGTCTTCAAGAGAAAACTGGACCACCCTCCGTCAGACCTGCTTTGATTTGGATCCCTGCCTTAAGCAGGGGGGTTGGACTCAATGGCCTTACGGACCCCTTCCAACTCCACAAATCCATGATTCTGTGGTCTAGTGGGTAGACAAAATTTTATTCCCAGTTTGGAGGGTTTGCCACATTTCTGTGTAACTTCATTCCCTGCCCAAACGGGACATTTTTGTTTCAGAAGAAGGCCATGGGGGAAGGCAAAAGGCTGGATTCCTGACAGCCCTTTTGTTTGGAAAGTTGGAAGACAGAATCTAACCAACATCCACGAGGAGTGAAATTTGAAACCTACACTTCCCCCCCCCGCCGCCCAAGACTGCAGTTTTGGAACCCACTTTTAAGAAACAGAACCTGTCACGGACATCTGCCATATTGGTGCAAAGCCTGATGAAGATTAGTACAGGCTGAAAGTTAGCAGTATTTGGTTTGGGTTTTTTTTTGTTTTTTAATTGATTTTTAAAAAAAAAAAATTAGCGATCTAATAAAAGTATCACCTGCCTTTGCTTCGGTATAGTCAAGGGTGAATTTTTAACCTGTTTCTTCAGGTCCTAATCCTTTTCACCACACCGGCTTTCGAAAGCTCTCTGTGTGTACGTGTCTGCACGGGCAGCCCAAAACTGCTTAAGACCTGTGGATTAAAAGGCTTACTCACCTCTCACCAGACTGCAAGCATACAACACCTGTACTAGTATATTATCTCTCTGTTCATGCCCACAGTTGCCTAAAGTATGGATGTATTTACTGTACTCACATGGTAGATAATGAAGATAATAGGCATTGGACCCAGCCTACCACATACATTTGCAGGACATTGTGAGATTTGCATGTGATCTCTCCTCTAGGATCCTTTGGATCTAGAATCAAGTTCCTATCAGTTCCAATCTTAATACAGTCAGAGCTGGAGGACGATTTCAGACATTCTGCCCATATGCCCTTAAAATAGCATTACTGCAGGGTGGCAGGAAACAAGAGGGCTGAAGAGATGGGATACAGGTATTTCTCCTAATTAATCATTAATAGAACTCTGGCCTTTGGTCCTTAGGAGGAATTTACAGAATTTGTCTTTCGGACAATACTGTCTCTCCTCACCCACCCGGCCCAGTCCACGGCCAGGCTGGCTGGCGGCTTCTGGGCACTATAAACTAGAGCAGTGGCTCCCAACCTTGGTATACAGATGTTCTTGGACCACAACTCCCAGAAATCTTGGTCAGCACAGCTAACAGTGAAGGCTTCTGGGAGTTTTAGTCCAAAGTTAGGGAGCCCCTGATCTAGAAGGTTATTTTGCCATTTTTGGAGAATGGGAAATATCTCACCCTCTGGGAATGTTGGCCTTTGCTTACCTTTTTTAAGGTTGGTGACCGAAGACCCTACTTTGATGACGGTCCCTGAAGCCTCATGGCCAAGCACCATAGGATTCTTCACCACAAAATCCCCAATCCGTCCGTGTTGCCAGTAATGGACGTCCGAGCCACAAATCCCAACAGAATGCATCTTCAAAAGCACCTCTAGCAGAGAAGGGAAGAGGGGGGATTAAGACCCTGAGACTTCCACAGAAAAGATGTGTTCACTGCAGCACTAAAGTTGATGGGTTGGATCTAACACTTAATCAGCAGCCTTGTGACGTGGTGGTTAAACTGCAGCACTGCAGCTGAAACTCTGCACACAACCATTGTTCAATCCTAGGTAACCGGCTCGAGGTTCACTCAGCCTTCCATCCTTCTGAGGTCAGTAAACTGAGTACCCAGTTTGCTGGAGGAGTGGGGACAATGTGTAGCCTGCATAATTAAATTGTTAACCACCCAGAGAGTTCTTTAAATACTATGAAGTGACATATCAGCACCACACTTTACACAAAGTAGACCCCTCTAAATCTATGGCCAGAATCCTACCGGTGCTTGCACGAGATCTGCATAATTTGCTACTGCAGAGTGCATCTCCGTCATGTAACTGGGCACATGAACGGGTAAGCAAGCAAAATGTGCTCCCCCATCTCGCCCGTTAGGTGCAATTAGCCATAGGAAGTTACACAAACTTTGCGCCTCCCTTTGGCCAGAATCCTAACAGGCCTCTAGCCAATGGGAGGCAAATTAGTCCATTTACAGTACTGAAATCCCATCAATTTAATGAGTCTGCCCTAAGGGCTAAAGGACAAAAAAAAACTTTTTCATGACCACAACAACATTTATGTCAGGAAGGGCCTTGAAAACTGATAGTAAAAGTCAAGGTTCATAATTATGTTTGCATTATATCCTTTATTAGACCACACGGGTGGGTAACAATTAAGCTTTGGTGGAATTTGAACAGGTAAGACCAAGACTGACTTCTTTTCTGCGAACCCACCGAGCAATTATTTATATCACTAAAAGAGCAGAATCAATTTGTTTAGAATGCAAAAGTGGAACGGTCACGAACCTATATTGTACACCTACCATTTGGCCCTGGTTCCGGTATTGGCCGATTTTCCTGCAGAGACAAAACAGATAAATACCATTTTACCCAGGTTGGAAACCACCGGGCATTCTGGAAGTTATAGTATAAAAAAGTTATTTTTCTACTGTCTTTCCCCAAAAATAAGACAGAGTCTTATATTAATTTGTGCTCCAAAAAATGCAGTAGGTTTTATTTTTGGGGGATGTTTTATTTTTATGTACAACCATCTACATTTATTCAAATACTATACAGTCATGTCATCTTCTTCGGCTTGCTGCACAAGGGTGGAGGGCAGGGTTTCACTTAACTGGGGCTTATTTTTGGGGTAGGGCTTATATTACAAGCATCCTAAAAATCATACTAGGGCTCATTTTCAGGTTAGGTCTTGTTTTCGGGGCAAACTGTAAGTTTTAGGTAAATGAATGAGAGGATAAAACAAGCAGAGATACTTCAGCTGCACATGGATCAATATATGAAAAAAAAGAAGAGGGAATCTCCTAAAATTATTCTGGATTTAAATTGGTTAGTACCCTAAACCAAAATATCCTTCTACCACTCTTCAATTACAGATTGCTTCATAACATTCATTATTTTTACAAGTAGTTCCTAAGATCTTCCCAGAAGTAAGATGAATTAAATGCCTGGTGCTACTAAAGAAAAATAAATTGTAATTTGCACACTATACTATTGAACACAGCTAGAAATTTCAGTGAGGACTCAATGAGATTGTCCTTTATCCTCATCACAACAATCTCCCAAACACCCTATAGTGTCCATATTTTAAAACTTTAGAAAAGATGTACACAGAGCCGGTTGGCCATTTAACTCTAATCAGCAATAATAAGTAAAGGAAAAGTGAGATAATACGTTACTTTAAGTGGTCGTGAAGGTGAAACAGAGTGTGAAAAGGAAATGTTTAATGTTTAGCTAGAGAGTAAATGTAACTTTCATTTAAATCCCCAGAATATCTGGGATGGCAAAACCACAGAGCCAGCTGATCAGGGCACCTAAGATGGGTTCTATTTCTCTTTCAATCCTACTTTCAGAAATTGTGGTCATTCCATTTAAAAAAAAAAATGCAAACTCTTCTTCCAGGTCTTAATGGATTTTACTGCAAATACATAAAACCCTCATTCTCCGTCAGCCAAAAAGAAAGAGGTGGGCCATAGTTACATAGAAATGTTCCTAGAGCAACAGCGATCTCTAATTCTAGCAAAATTTTACCCACACCAGACAGGCTAAAAATGAAATGAATGCCCACTGTGGCAGAGGAAGCTCTTTCAAATCAAACCGGGGCCGGGGTGCGAGGTCTGCGTGAGAAAATAACACAGCAGGACAATTTTCCAACAACGGTGGGCAGAAAAATGCACAACTGAGGGCAGAAGTGACACAAAAGTTAGGCAGAGGTAGGGCATGGTCCAACCAAAGTGTGCCAGGCCTTACAAATGACGGACATTTTGCTGATACCTCTAATTTCTCTACATTTTGTCGTACGTTGCCATTGGCAGACATTCCAGGTCTCGCAAATAAAACGGTTTCACCTCCATTCCCTCCATTTCTCTGAGATTTTCCAAGCATGGAGCAATCCCCCCCCTCCATTTATTTCATTTATTTCTTGGTAAGCCTGTGTTGGCAACGTGATCTTTCTCTCTCTCCCTTTTCAATGGAAATTGAACTAATTTGCAATAGTAACACCCCAAAAGGGTGCAGGGGTGTGTTCCATTTTTATTTCATTTTAAAAGCTGCCAGAGAGGTATTCTGCATGCCCAGCTTTTTTGCATCCAGCCGGTCTTTCCTCTCTTCAATGAATGTATTTATTTATTTATTTATTTGATTTATATCCCGCCCATCTGGTATATTTATACCACTCTGAACTCCTGCATAGGAGGCCATTCAAATGTTGCAGGGAGGGGGCAGACGGCAGCAAAATGCAGCTTCCCTTAAGGCAGTGGTCCCCAACCTTGGGCCTCCAGATGTTCTTGGACTTCAACTCCCAGAAATCCTGGCTAGCAGAGGTGGTGGTGAAGGCTTCTGGGAGTTGTAGTCCAAGAACATCTGGAGGCCCAAGGTTGGGGACCACTGCCTTAAGGGGTTGTGAAACTGACTAGAATAAAAAAAATCAAATGTGTTTGTTATCTTACTCCTCTCCAATCAGGCAGACACATCTCCTGGCTGAATTGTGAAATTGACTATAGAGGCCAAGAGTCGAGCTTGAAATTGACTAGCCAAAACTAGGGCTTCCTGTCAGGGTGTAAAAATGACTAGGGAAAAAAAATTAAACATGCACCTGCACATAGGGAACACTAGAAGGGTGCTGTGTAGCAGCCTAAAATCTTTGGAGAAGATGTGCTTGGTGATCATGACGAAGGGGAATGGAGCAATACTGTTTCCCCCAATGGGTGCACTGAACACAGTGAGAAGAATATGCTAAAAAAAAAAGCACCACCAGTCCTCAGACTTGAAATACCCACAGGCAATGGAGTTACATAAACACAGAAAAGCTGAAGTCTTCAATGGTTACTAATCACTAGGGGATTTCTATGACATGTCATATTTTTTCTGCAACCTATGCTTGAGTTTATGTTTGAACCTATTTATGAGTCCTCTGGTCAGAGAACTCAAGACCATGTTTGAACTTGCTTGTGGGTTCAAATGTAGATTGCAGAGAAAAATGTGAAAGGTCAAAGACATCGTCGTTGTGGGTTTTTCGGGCTCTTTGGCCGTGTTCTGAAGGTTGTTCTTCCTGACGTTT